TGCTTACATTGGCGGAATCTTATAATAAATCGGTACAAGAGGAATCAACCATGACACCTGAACAATTGAAAACTCGACATGTTGGAAAACAGGATCCAAAGCGTCATTTAGAGGAAAGTGTGGAAGACGTTATGTCCAATAATATTGTAATGGCACTGGGAACTATGATCGATTCAGTCAGTTTCATAGATACAAATCAAAAAAATAAAATCCAGGGATAGCCATTATTAATTTACCAATTTTGTTGAAACGCAGACTTTTTGTATTTGAAAAAATTATTACTTTTAAATATATAGAATGAATGAATATATTCCTATTCAATTTTTTTCAATTACGAAATTTTATAAACATGTTTAAATTTAAAATTGATCGGAAATGACACTTTAATAATTAGTCCGGAACGAAGTGTAGGACTATATACGACGAAAAAATGTCCCGGCTCAATAATTGAATTGCACAAAATCCTAGATAAAGCAAATATCAGTGTGAATTTTTTTACAACGGTTCAAAATTTCTAATTAGTTCCAATTTATTCTATAGGATTACAAATTCTGTCGATCGGTTACGCAGCATCCGTATTTGTTCTTTTACCACCCATCTCTATACGCGTTTTGTAGATCATGATCATGTAGTGATGTCTTATGACTTGAGCATAAGACAAGGAATTGAATATTGATTAAAAATATGTCTTTTTTTCACACTTTCAAAAACAACTCTTCAAAGTCATCTTTTACATTCAAAACAGCTCTGTCTTTTTTCACACTTTCAAAAACAACTCTTCAAAGTCATCTTTTACATTCAAAACAACTTTTAAACAACTTTTAAACAACTTTTTAACTTTTTTTTTATATTAAACCTGGTAAGCCATACATTTTTTATTGCAATCATATCCTCTAGGATAAATGAATATCGTCTTTCTGACATTAAAAACTTATTTCATGATACGCAGCAAAATGTGTAAAACACAACAGGTCGTATTATTTAACGGACAAACGATCAGAAGATTTTTTCTCTGATGAGTCCAATGTAAGTTTACATTAAAGTGTTTAAAATATTTCTTTTTTACCGAAAAAATTTATTAATTTATTTTAAAAACCGTCAAATTTTAAAAAGTTAAAACCAAAGAAAAACCGAACAAGAACCCCATCGAACCCAGGAACCCAAAGAAAAAGCGTGATACGAATTTTCTTTGTGGGCTAGATTAAAATTTTAAATAGAAAATAAATCGTTAATAAAAAAAAATTACTTACCCGAAAGCTATATTCACAAATTCGCAAAATAATTCTCTTGTTAAATCATCAAAAAAAAAAAAAAAAAAAAATTAAATATGAAAATAAAATGAATAATATTGTTTCGTAGCCAATAAAAAAAAAAATAAAAATTTGCTATCGTTATAAAAAAATTAGTATTAACGAATCATATAAAGTGTATAATAAAGAAAATATTGTTATTAGTCCGGAGCGTTAGCGTAGGACTATATATTTCTACACAGTATGACTCAAGATGTCCGGAATTAACAACGGTCCCCGTTCCCTAGTTTTATTTGTTATTGTTTTACTCATCAATTAATTAATTGGAACCTAGAGTTACTGCGGAAAGACGATTTGACAATGTCCGTTTTCTAGCGAAATTACGAAATTGCCCGCTATATTCAGCCCGTAGCCAATCAGAATCTTCACCAATCAAACTTAACAAAAATGAGAGTTTTTCGTAATATTTTATTTCCTTCAATAAAAAATTTTAAATTATGCAAGTAACTCACTAACTTTCATATTTCCAGGACGGTAAAGAACACATTTTAGTTTTAAAAGATTCTAGCATTCTCGAAAACTTTTATTTAGAGAGTTTTTTAACTTTACGAATTCTTAATTATTGCTTTTTATTACAAAAGGAGGTGATCAGCTAGTTTTATACAGATTGAAGAACAACAAAGACTCAAAAAGAATTTTAGAAAGTAAAAGGAAAATAATTATTAATACTGGTTACGATGACGAAGAATTTAATTTTGGTGGAGGAGAAATATCTAAAAAGAATATCTTATCACATTATGTTGAGGAAATAAGAGAATGTATATAACTTTAATAGTTTATATTATTTCTTTAATTAATTTAATATCAATTAAAAAACTTGATCTATAATTTCATGTTGGGTAGTGACGGTACTGTTCAATTAAATGAATATGAGTGAAGGAATTGAAGTAGCGGAGAAATTAAAGTCGAGGCGGAATTCTTTGTATTACGATAGTAATATCAACTATTCAACAAATAATATATTATAATTAGTTCTTATTCTTTTTTTATTTTATTTTAATTCCATAGAGTTCAGAATTTTTTTTTTTTTAAGTCATATTCCAAATCATAGTCATCGATACGTCAATTCAAATTCCTGCTCAGGATAAATGAAATTTTTCTTTTCAAATTGATTCGTATCGCTTAATCGAAACCACAAATACCAAGCCATTCATTTTAAATATTACATTAATGGGGTTGAATGGTTGAATGTCTAGATACCAATTACATTTTACATTTTTAAATTATCATAATTCATTTTAAAAAATGAGTCTTGCATTGTCCATTAACAAAATTAATTCACATTTTATCTCCAAATTTTTTTCTTTTTCGGAATCATCTATCCTCAATTAATACCTTGATTATTTGTTTCTTCAAATTCATATTGTGTATTTTGCTCAACCGGTTCAAAAAATTCTTGTTGTGATTTAAGAGCTAAGATAGAATAACTTGTGTCTCTTTTACCTAGTATTTAATATATAGAAAAATTAATATTATTTTTAAATGTTGTTTGGCGACTGCTCCGAAATGATTAAAATAATAATGTCATGGCGCGCGGCAGCGCGGCAATGACATTATTTATTTTAATCATTTCAAAACCTTTTAAAATAATCCTTTAAGATATATTAATCTATTTTTTAAAAAATATTTGCAAGAACAAATCCACTTATCAATATCTGTTAAATAGAAATAAGATAGATAAATTCTTTTTGCTGCAATTTTTTTCCATTCACACTTTAATTTTCTCCATTTTGTCATTTCGCACTAATTACTATCTGTATTTTCTCTAGATTTTCGTTTGCTTTGTTTTCGTAACGGTTGTTTAATGGGATTTTCAGGGATTTTCATTAAAAAACAAATTTTCATCAAGATTATTTTTTGTGGCAGCCTTGAAAAATCATTGTATTAATAAAATAAACTACACACTATAAAATAGACTACAAAATAGACTATATATTACGTAATGAAGGAATGGAGCTAGAATTTTAGGGAAAGGACTTTTCTTACTGCGTGATCAACTCGAATTTCAAAAGGTTTCGGTTAGAACCATTCGACGATTTCTGAATTTATTCTGAAAAACCCAAAAATACAAGAAATAAATTCGATTCGAAGACGCTCATATTATTTACGTTGTCGTGTAACTTGATTTTAGTAGCAAATAGTTTATCCATACGTAATACATTCCGGTGATAAAGAGATCGGCATTTACGAATGGCGCAGTAGCTGCGTAAAAATATTGAAAATGTCAAGAATGTCAAAAAAATGATCATTTATATTAATTATATATTTGTTTTATTATATATATTTATTAAATTTATTATAATTGTTATTTTGGTACATTATTTTTATTATGTTTAATATATTTATAATATATATTTTAAATTAGTATTTAGAAATTTTGTATATAAACCCCGAAAGTCCGTTTTGTTCAAAGATGAAGGTTGACGAGTCTTGAGAAGAGACGACCGAAATCTTGAGTTAATAAAATTCCACGTTACACTTTCATACTTTATCGTGTCTCCATATAGGCTGACTAATAACCAACTACACAAAAAATCGTATAAAGTAAATAGTTGTATAAATCTTTCTTAGACGGGCCTTAGTTAGATTTATTCGTTGTTTAGTTAACTGGTTTCGGTTTAAAATCGGGTTGAAAATGGGTAATAAATCAAGCCAAAGATTAATAAATTATCAGTGATCACATGGATCTTATGCCGAAACGATTTTCATTCATATACGAATTTATATATAAATGGTTTGTGGAAACATTCTTCTCCTGATCTCTTCAGCAATATTAATAAAGGTTTCACCCTTTAAGATAATGTGAATTTCAAATTCATCTAATATTCGAATCATTCACGAATTGTAAAATAGAATCATTCTAATAAAAATGAATAAAATGAGTATTATTGTTTATCTCGGCAAAAGTCCATTACGAAGTAAAAATAGGAAGTCGCAAAAACTATATTTTGGAGGTTGCATATAAATTTTTTGCGAGAATTTATATCGACCGTGATTATTATGTACTTTTTTTACGAGATAATAGATTGAAAAGTGATTTCATGAACAAATCATTCATTCAATTTATACTCCTGTATTTCTAAACTTTCCTTTATGGTATGATTACTTTTTTATTTAATCCTTAAATTATTCTGTTTAAGACATATATAAAGGTTGCGAACAAGACTTTACTGTAATATGATTTATCAATGTACGTTCTCATCGCTATAATCAAAAACTTGATTTCGATAAGCCGCAAATTATTAAAAGGTGATCCATAAATCGAATGAAATCAAGTTATTGGATATGGCACAACAACAATAAAATAATGGGGCATCTCATCATTTAATTGATTTGCAATAATTGAGTATTGATGAATAATATATTAAAATCACGTCGGATCATATGTCGCGTGACTCAGCTTCATTCTTTCATTTTTGCCTTCCCCATTACTTCTCTTCTATTTTACCTTTATCACCAATCTCCAGTATTTCCTTTTATATTATTATGAGTAGATTCAAATTCAATTTATTGTCAAAACTATTTTCATTGCCAGAATTTAACCAAGTCATAAGTTTTTAACTTTTTTCAAAATCAAATATCGGCAATTCGAGAAGTATCATTACCTATTCACGCGATAATCATAACTTCGCTTTACCTTAATTATTTCAAATTATAACATTTCACTTATATTTCATTACCCCTCCATTATTCTATATTCATTTACATTACACAATTTTACATTAATTAATTTGAAACTTTTGAAAATTTTTATTTAAATTCATTTAAAGTTGTATATTTAATTAAAATATTTGATCTCAAAGTAAAATTTGAATGAATTATTTGATTTTTGAATACACTTACTATAAAGATATTTCAGTTTATTATTGAAAACAAGAATGTTGAATATTAAAATTATCTTTTAGAACACTTTTATCGCAAATATATAAACTTAATATTAATGTAAAAGTAGATTTAGCATTTTATTAAATGAATAATTAAGTTTTTATTAAAAAAATAAATATATTATATAAATTTATTATATTAATATATTCGATATATTATATACAGAATAATTATCATATAAAAAATATAAGAGACAAATTTAAATATATTTAATATCAAATAATTTTAAATTGCTTATAATATAAAAATATATAATTATAAAATTGATTTATTAAAATAATAATCTTTTTAAATAAATTCTTTACTATTAAAAATAATAATTTAAATTATATATAAATTATATAACAATAATTATTATTTTAATTGATAATAGATAATAATATAATATAATTTATATAGTTAAAAATATAATAAAATAAGTACAAATTATTTTAAAAATAAATTATAATAATCTATATATCATATGAATATTATCACTATATAATTTCTATTTATCCTACAGCTAATGTAGATTCTACTTATAAAACTAATTTAATATCATTATAAAAATAAGTATTATAAGTTTTATTTTAAGTGTTAAATTTATAGATTATTAGAAAATAAATACTTTTAGTATTAAATTTATTTTTTATTGATATGAATATGCAAAATAATGATTAAATGATTAAACTATCATTATATTATATTTTATTTAAATAATATAAATGGCTATTTATATACAATTCCTTATTATTTTGTTAATTTATCTATTTAAATAATTTCAAATTTTGAAAAAAAATTTTTAAATTGATCTTTGTATACATCATTTTCATCTATATTTTCAATATTTATTAAATAAGTAGTTTTAAAAAAATTAAAAAGTCCAAATATTCAAATTTTTTAAAAAAAAAATCAAATAGTCAAAATATTCATAATTTTTAAAAATAAAAAAAAACTTTTTTTTATCAAAGTGTAACATTAAATGGTATAAGTATTTATTTTTTTCCTATATATTAAACTACTGTCTATTAAGCTGATTGCTAGCATAAGCATATACATTATTAGTGATAATTTATATGCATATCTAATAAATGCATTAATTAGGATTACTAATAATATCTATAAAAATATGATCACTATTTTTACCGATTTTATTGCTATTATAATTATCATTATTTTATTAAATATATTTATTTATTATTTATCATTATTTTATTTATTATTATTATTATCATAATTATAGTTATTATATTTAGGTTCTGAAAGGATTAGGTCAAACTCAACTTGTATTTAAAACTTGAATTAGATTTATCATTATTTAATAAAATCCTATATTCAACCTGATTTGTTAGATTATAATTATACTTTTGCTTGACTCAAATTAACCTAAATTTAATCAAATATTCATAATTTTTAATTTTTAACCTTATTTGTTTTGTGATATTGTGTATAAAATAAATGAGGCTAAGAAAATAATACTTGAAATAGAAATGTATTTAAAATTTCTTAAGCAGATAAAAATCAAATTGATTTATTATAGTTATAAATATCTGTTGAAACTCCTCAAAATAATTTTGTCATACCCTTTTTTATGTTTTTAATATAGTTTTAACAGTTTTTAGCTTTTGTTATATTAAATGGGTTTCGTTGTATCCTTTATTATGATATTAATATAGTTTCATCTAAGTTTCAACTGTTATTAAGGGGTTTCATTCCTTATCTATAATTATAGTAATTAAATAATAATTAATATATTTGATTTGATTTGATTTTATTAATTTATTAATAAATATAATATATATAGTTAAATGAAGTAGAGTATCCACACCTAACAGCAATGGAAAGTGATTATCTTTCAATTGCAGGTAAAAAAATTGTTTATTTTAATATTACTAAATATTAGCTAATAAAATGATTTTTAATTTAGCTACAAGTGTTCTAGTAAAACATATCTTTTCCAGTGGAACTGTTTTGATAACAGCAAAAAAAGCAATCTTAAAAAAATACAATTTGCACCTGTATGTATTTGAAGTCATGGTATAGTAAAAAGGATTTAATGAAAATATATTTTATAATTTTATCATAAAAATTTAAATAAAATTTAATACGAATCATTGTAAAAGTTATGCAATATATATTTAATATTGTCTAGCTGATCATAAATAAATTTGTTAAAAATTTTATTTGATCCAGTTTATCTGGAGATTAAACTATATCAAGTCAGATCAGGGTTAAATTATATAAATATTAACCCAGGTATTTGTACAGGTTGGTTTTTATAAATGGGTTAAGTCTGAGTACATCCTCAAACCTGATCTGATTCGACTATTTTGGAATACTAATTATATTATTTATCTCTTTATTATATCTGTATTTTATATAAATATTATGTATTTTCACCTTAGCAAAGAGACAAATTTCTATCTTACAATTGAATAAAGTATAATTTTAACAACATAAATTCATATTTTTGCTAATATCTATTTCCTTAATACATAAATCCTCAATAAAGATGATATGACCCTTCAACTTAATTGAATTTATTTCTTTCATAGTTTACGACTTAAACTCCCGTTAGCAAATAAGCTTTTTTATCCTAATGACGTAGTGTTTAGGCTTAACAGCGGCGTAAAGCATAATTAATATAAGCCATAAAAATGACAGAAACGTCTACTCTATATTAGGAATTAGATCTAACCATAAACTGAAAATTTTGGTAAAGAAATGTGCCATCAGCTTACAGCATTCTTTTATTATGCTAACAAAAGAATTGTAAGCAGAAGGATAAACAAAGGTATGAATTATCTTAAATTATTGCCAACCTAGTGATTTGACGTAAAATACATTTTGAGTGTTCTGTAAGAACGTTTTGCAACCCGAGATTTCACTTATTATCTGCTTAAACCCTCTAATAGACATTTTTGAGTATAGACCCCGTCTGCTCCGTTCGATACTCTGTAATTTCTCTTAAAATTTTCTTAATGATTTTGCTTTAAAGACCTGTAGAGATTGCAAATTGAAGGCGGAAATAATGACAGTTTAGGAACTGTGTATAATGTCATAAACTACCATATGTTGAATTTCAACATCCCATGTGTTATATTGCATCTCTACGTCGCTTTAAACAATTCGCCCTTTAGACTTTCGTGAAATCACTAAATAAATATAAATATAAATAAGCATTTTCAAATTAAATTAGAATATTTTAAATAGATTACAAAATAAAAAAATACGACGTACGATAAAATAATTCAATTAGCATGAAATGAAAAAGTTCAAACCGCGACAAGTATGCTTTCAAGAAAAATTGAAAATTTATAATGGAAAAAGGACAACATAATTTTTAAATAAAATATAATAAAAAGAAATACATATATAAGAAAAAAGGCTTGATCAATTAATTCTAATTATGCATCATCGAAATATTAATCGATTTATTGATTTTTTTTAGTTAGAATACTTTGAAAAATCTAAAAATTTTAAAAATATCTTTATTATACTTTCTTTGTCAAAATAATATTCACAGTTTCTTTTATGAAATAATAACTCGTTGATTTCAATCACTTGTAATTTGATTACAAGCATCACTAAATAACCGTTCACTTTGAACGGATCTTTGGCAACGGTATTGCTCATTTCATTTAGTTATTATGTTGCGACGACATTTTGGGTTTGGTCCCATTCCAAAGGGTATCCCACTTTTATAGAATATCGGGGCTCATTTCATTTATCTTTGCCACTTCATTAACATTCATCAGGTTTGTAAGTATTTTCTTATGTCTCATACATTTGTAGCTAGCCCAATGTGACACTATGTTCAGCTTCTAAAATACAATTGAACCTTTTCTTTTCTAGTCCATTTTCAACTGTAAATGGAATACATATGGCGAAGGTTGTTGTTATTCTGTTGCTGTTGATGTAATTTATTGTTGTCTGGCAAACTCAGTTTAACAAATGGCAAAATCGAAATTTTATATTTTAATTTTGATCTATTATCATGGATTTGCCAATTAGATTTTATTATAGTTTCGCTCCGTCGAATTTGCCAGTATACTATTTTGTTGTTGTTCTTCACGGAGCCTCTTCATAGCGTCAAGTATCCCTGGTTCTTGACAGGTAATTGCGTTTTATCATTGTTTTTAAAAAAATTCATTTTGGAAATATTTTTGATGATTAACAATAACCCATTTGCTGATGTTGAACATGATCATCATCTCATTTATAGTATAATTGATGGAAATCGACCTGAAATTACACAGGATACTCCTAAATTTTATGCTGATTTAATGAAAAGATGTTGGAATACAGATCCTTTAAAATGACCTTCTATTGATGAAGTTGAGAAATTGCTCAATATTGGCATAATAATCAATTTAAACAAAGACAACCTTTTAAAGATGTTGATAAACAACGTTTGGATTTAATAAAATTAAATAATCTTGGTCCTGGATTTACTGTAAAACATCCAAAAGCAATCTATACTAGTAGAGCATTAAATTCTTTAATTTCTAAATTTTTATCTATAAATTCGCTTACGAATTCATTTAATATTAATCAAGGTAATTTAAGGGCAAAATGTTAATAAAAGTGTGATATGATTAATATTAATTAAATATTAATATCCTTTTGTTTTAATACCAGGAGATATTTCGAAGGAACTTGAATTTGATTTTTCAAGGTATATTATATTAAATTAAAAATATAAAGTTTTTTTAATTTTGTTAATTTAAAGCTTTGTGTTTTCGTATTTTTTAATGAAGATGTATTAGATTACCTGAAATAAATGCAAATTCAACAACGCAAAATGGTTCAATCGCTCAGCATCAAAGCGATTTATACTCTCATCAATTAAATTCAAATTCTTCAAGAAAGCATGAAATTAAAGAATTAGAAATCAACACCCAAGTAAATGATGATCATTTAATAATGCTAATTTCATTGCTTAAAAACTTATTATAGGAAAACGCGTTAAAATAGGTGATATTTAATTGCGAAATCTCTAAATTTAGACTTTGAAGGATGGGTTTGATTTTATTTTAATTTACAATATTTATGTATGCTTTCTATTTATTTATTTTTTACAATGTGGTCCTTTCGCTTGATGATCAATGGAATGGTTTTTAGCAAAGTGCCCATATTATTTTTTATTAACTACATAAATTATCATAAAATTTAACATCATGATATAAAAATTTAATTGATCATTTCTTGGGTAAAATTTCGGTCTTCGAACCAATAATTGCGTTATTTTTTCAGTCATTATAATCAATACAGGTTGTACGATAAAACAAATATCGGTCCTATTAGTCTTTTCATTTCTAAGTAAAATATAACTTAAAAGTTCTATCTATTTTTTAGTGTGTAATATTTAACAAAATGAATGAACTGATATTCATGTTTTGAATTATTTCTAAAATTCCAGTAGATTGAATAATTTTCTAATTACTTAAGATAAACTAAAATGATTAATGTCCTTATAAATTACTTTAGACTTACATAAAATATACGAATTCATTAATAAGGAATTGTGTGTGAAACATAACGGTTGTTTAAATGTAGAAAACTTAAGACTGTACAGATAGAATTATATGGAAATTTAATAGTTTGAAATTTTGATTCTAATAATTTTTAACAAAGATTAAAAAAAAAGCTAAACATTCAAAACCTTTCCTTCTAGGAAAAATAAGGAATGCTTAAATAGTCAAAGCTACAAAAACTTCAAAAAAAAGTTAAAAAAAACAGCGTAATGTGATCTAACCCCCAAAAATCTACCTGAACGACGTCTTATCAAATAATAAGAGGGAAAATAAATTTTTAGCTTTTTTAAAGACAGGGAATCGTTTTTTGCCAATAGACACTATTTAGATTATTTGTACTATATATAATAAATGACAAATATTCCAAAAGGATTTCGAACTTAAAATCTAGAATATTTTTGTTATAGGCGCTTATAATCATGGTTTGAGGCCTCCGGGAGTATATACACACTCAATAGAGCATTCAAATTTTTCAATCTCGGTGTGCATACAAATAAAAAAAATTTTTCACACTTGATCTGTCAAATAAACAAAAATTTTTTTATCTATTTTATTGGCACAATAAATGCGGCTGTAAGTAAACTGTCACAGTCGAAAGTTCTTCAACCATTAATTTTAATTTTATCAATAAAATCGAAAACTAAAATAAAACTTATTAAATCAAAAGGCGAAAAACAAAACATTCGATCACGATAGTCCAAGCCGAAAGAGGACCCTAACGCTGATTATTTATTGGTTTCGTCTGAAATTGGAATTTCAATTTCAGACACAGACGAAAATCAATTTCTGTCACAACACCATAATCAAATTAATGAATCTGTCGATAATTCTAATGATCTTAATGAAATAAATTCCTGTTCGTGATACAAAAACTTAGCATTTCAAATTCATCCTTGATAGTTGCTGCAAATTTTTTTGTATGCGTTGATCGGGAATATTGCACAGGTTTTATTTATTACACACTGTTTAATTCGAGTTTCATAGCTGCAGTAAAAGATTTTTCTTATTCGGATTTACAATCTATTAAAATAAAATTTCATTTTTAATTATCATTTCAGAACCTGTTGCAGCTTTGGTATATGACATATTTGATTTAATTTCATTTTCGAAAAAGATACCAAATAGAATTTGAAATTCCGGCTTTCCATTTAATTTCACATCGAACTGTTTGTTAACTTTCTCCGCGTCCCAACTAGTTTTCACAGAATAACTGTTAGGAATTGGATACTTTGTAGGAGACAAAGTATGACAAAGTTCAGAAACATGTGGATAAAATCCTTTAGCTATGCTAAATAGTTAAATTATCTTGTGTAATAATATTTTTTTCTTTATAAGTAATGAAGGGCTTGAAAATTCAATGTTTTAAAATTAAAAAAAAATATTCTCCATTTTAATTATTAAAAATTTTTGTAGGATAGTGATTATAGCTAATATGGAGGTAATTTAATAATAAAAAAATCCGTTCCATAAAAATGGGTGCTTATAAAGAAGTGTGACTGTATATGGTGTGACTGTATAGAGGAGGTCCGACTGTACAATAATTTTCCGTGTTACATAATCCTCCAAAGTATCGATATATACACTTATCAACTGAGACGAAAGTAGGGAAATTCATCGCGATGACATGAATGCTATTATTTCTCGCATAATAATCGTAGCAAAGATATTTCTTTCTCAAAATTTCATATTGAAGTTCTGTGTTAAATTTGACAAATCTCGTTAATCTAATGGTCGATTGTGCCTTCTGATTGAATTTCAGGGATAATGATTCATGAGGAAATATTCTAACAAAAAAAGACAGTTGATTATGAATGAATAATAATTTGCAACTCAAACTAATTTCCATGCAAAGCAGGAATATCAATTGACCGGATTTCCGTGATGAGTCATAAAGAGTGGTTCCAATGGATAATGAATTCAATTCTTGGTTTGGTAGAGGTAATTAAAGTTAGTATTAGTATTTGATTCAATTTCACACTTAAGTAATAATCATACTTACTTTTAATTTGTACTCATGGATACACTTCAAGGACTTTTATTTAGTCTAGAAGGTTAAGTCCACTGTATTCCAATTCGACATCACCGGATTTTAATTGAAATATGAGGCAGATACCATTAATTATATAATAATGTTTAAGTGTCTAGCCTCTTTTCTTCGAAACTTCCCGCATATATCTGCCAGCTCATATGTTTATTGTAAGTAAGCTCTCAGGACTATCTGTTGATCCAATATTTTTCGTGCGATTTTAAGACCGCGATTATCAAGGAGAAAGGCTAGATGCATTGCAATAATAACAAGCAAAAAAATTATTTTCTCAATAGCGAGATAAAATACCCATTATTGCTTCTGTGAAAAATTCTTGCCGGGATCGATCGCGCTAAAGAATTGTGTAACGGACCATTTCTCTTAACTAGAGTTTGGAACCGACCTAAAAAATCTTATCCGATTAATAAAACTTCTGCCCGAAAATTAAATTTCGGCCAAAGTTAAAATTAAAGAAATTCTTTAACAGGTTAACAATTTAGCAATGTAATTAACTGGTTCTCCATTAAATATTTTTTTTTATTATCCCTTAAGTTGAGTTTTGATTATTGTTTAAATATGCAAATATTCGATTTTAATAATAAACTCGCAACCCAATTAAAAATGCTTATATTGGTTCAAATTTGTTTTCATATAAAGAAATTAACTAATCAAGATGGTTTTCATAAAAAATAAATTATGATAATTTAGTTTGCAAACAAAGATTCATAAAATATCACAATACTATTTCTAATAATATGTCCAAAATATCCAACAAAAGATGGATATTCTTAGTGCGTTGGACCTAGATTTTAACATTTCATATGCTTGGATACAAGAAATATAATTTCCCGAAGAATTATTAAGTAACGCCTGAGAAAGAACATAAGAATCTTCAATTGCATTATTGGTTCCTAATCCAAGTACAGGGTGAGCATCTCCCAATAATATTACTCGGCTACTTTTCCAAGGATTAACAGACGATGAGTCAATATCTCGCAATTTCTTCGTTTAACTGGATTATAGGTTATAAACTGATGTTTTGCTTGATCATTTGGATCAGTCAGAGGAACTAAGTCCCATAACAAAAATATAAAAAAAGAAAAGACGTAAATTAAAAATATTTCAAAAATAAAAAATTTATTATCAGGTTAAAAATTTAAATACCTGGCGGAGAATTAATTCTATTTGCTATCGCTTTGACTCTCGTGAGCCATTTTCAAAATCGCCCAAACTTCATTTTCGGTTTCTTCAAATCCAATGCATTTTTTACCCATTGAATTGGCACACATTTAGCAATAAATATGTCTTTAAGCCTAATACGGTAACCAATAATAGCACAATTTTCATTAGAGATTTTCGACAGTTCATAAACTTCTTTAACTTATTTAGTAGGAGGTCTGAAAATAACATTTAGTAACTTCTTCTTTTTCGTCAGACTTTTCGGATCTGTAGAATAAGGAAATAAGTTGTTAGTGGTTTTGTGAGAGGTATCGAAAAGAAAGAAATTAATTAACAATAAAATAATAAACTAGGCTTTGACCTGAGACCCGTTGTGATAAGTCCGGGTAATCATCATACATGCCTCGTTAATTTCATCGTCACCTACATTATCTGGGAAAAGGGACGAACACGATTAGAAACGTCTTATATAAAGAAACTGGGAATAGGAGGGTCACCCTTCAAACACAGCTATGCCACCACATCACCAACGAGACCCCCCTCGTGATTTTAAATGAAAATAATTTCATTTGTGGGACACGATGTAGTCCTATCGGGCGTGGATGGTATCCTTTCTCTTAACAATATTCGGACCACCCTGCTGCTAAAATGACAAGACGACGATAACTAAGTAAGTATACTTACATGATAATACCGGTATATTTTCCTTGGATTTCTCCAGTGTCATGCCCTAACAACTGTTACCCGTTACCACCACGGTTTATTTGCAAAAATCTATAGGACATGTTGGAATCTGGGAGTTTTTGGAATGTAATCATAACCTCGTAAGAACGCGGGATTAACCTTTTTACGCCGAAACTTCGCCAAAGCATCACTTGGGATATAAGCAACAAATAGTACAACATTCAATAAAGCTTAGACTTTTTTTTGTATTTTAAGCATTTTGACCGGGACCAACCGACTATAATATTATTTTTTTAGTAAAAAAAATAAAAAATAAAAGGCTGTGGAAAAGTTTCAGTAAAAAATTACGTGATACCGGATAATTTGTGACCAATGCGGGTGATATCAAAAAAATTTCCCAGATGATCGGCGAATTGTAATTCAAAATTTGAGTGATTGAACCCCGTTGAATTTTTACATTAAATTCTTATCTTAATTTTTATTAAAGAATGATAAAGTACAAAATCTGCTCTAAGTTTTTTTAGAAAACAAATGCTAAGCACAATTTGAAGATATTTTTTTAAAAAAAATGATTAAGAATATATAATATTAAAGTTTGTATATATTTTCTCCAGTTTTGTCTATATTTGATAATTTCGTATTAGTAATATTTCTAAAAACAGCATGATCTTCATGACCAATAAAAATATTCGCACAATCAAATAAATATATGTAATTTTTTTAACTCTCTTCTAACACTTTGTATATTTTAGTACAAACAACAAAAAAAGTGAAACGAACTTTATTAAGATATCATAACTTGTTTACACTTTGTACATGTTTCATCGACCTTACAACGCTTTTCTAATGACGACGATGATAACTAAAGAAAGTTTTCTTCGTTAGCATCGAACTTTAATCATAAGGTAAGTTTCATACCCATGCTTATACCTAATGCGTTAATTATTCAAGGGTATTCTAGACATCCTTTAATTGATACCTATGTGTAATCAGATTTTATTAGAATATATTCTCATGAACTTGTTTAAAACACATGCTTCATTGAATTACTTAGAGTTTCGGAGCATCTCTAATCAATAAAAAAACTTTCTCTTATTTTAGGTATACTTACCACACTATTGTAATAATCGACTCTTTAACGGCGATGACCTGTATGGAATTATTTTCTTTCCATTATTTTCTACAGATCTGAAAGGTCTGACGAGAAAGAGAAAAGTAGTTTTTCATACCATCATCCAACGGTTGACGTCTAGGATGAATTCTTAAGAGATAGGATTAAGATTGCATTTTAGACGCAGTCATTCGTTGAAGCTTTACATATAGGTTTCTTATTATGAGGAAATATGTGCGATCATTGGTGAAGTTACATATAGGGCTTCTTGGCTTAAAGTAGTCTGTATTATGTGAGATAAACTAATTACGCTTTCCTACTATGCCTAACATATAATGTATGTAATTGCATTCAGTGGTCGGGTCTCCTACTAATTTCCTATCATAAAATTTATTGTAGTTTTAATTCGGGTGGTCGTATTTCTTTTCTCTCTTTACATAGTAAAAATACTAATGTTGTTTATAATATACTATTTTTGTTATAGGTCTTTATTTAGGAAAAAATTCAAAGAGCTCAAATAACTAGTCTGGTCATAAATGGTCAAAAGTTGATGGTCAAAGTGGTAGAATAATAAAACTATGGCTAAACTAGTCTTAGATTAAAGCGGTCTTGTAAAGATGTATAATAAACTAATAGAATTTATTTGTAATATATATTATATTAATAAAATAGTCTAAATTATACGAAAATAAAAATTAATAAATATCGATTCATTTATTATTTGAATTTTCTAAATTAATTTTTTGTATTTAATAAAGAAAATAAAAAAAAAACAAAATAAATAATTTTTAATTAAATAAAAATTCGTAACTTATGAAAAAAAATATATAAGACAAATAAATATCACTTGTACATGTTTCATTAGTTAATTTTATAGTAGATTTCTAATTAAATAGTGTGAAATTAAGAAAGAATTGTATGAAATGAATTAGTAATTTAGTTGTGCCTAACGAATAATTTTGAAGATTGGTATATTAGATAAATAATTACACGGCCGTATATGATTATTACACTTTGTCTATGGAGTAAATATTAAATATAAAAGAACAATTATTAAATGTATTTTCTTTAAATATACATTTGAAGTGAGAGATCAGTTGTCATTACTTGACTCTCAATTAGAATCGTTTTGCAATTTTAAATATATGAATGTTAGTTTCTTTATAAGAATATGTAATGATAAGATAAATAAATAAGGAAATGCATTGAAAATCAATTTCATTATCAATTTCTTCAATTTATCCATTTAAATTTACACGATATCATTCTAACTGTATAACCCAATTATTAGTTGATTTATCAATCGAAATACAATTAATAATACTTATATATCACTATCACTAGGTTCGTTATATTTAAATTGGCTAATTAATAAATAATATTTTATTATAAAAAAAGGTTTTAAAAGGTTTTTATTATTAACAATTTTGATTTTGGCATAATAAAAAAAATGCAGTTGTATTGAGATTAAATGATATAAAATTAGAAAGAAAAAAGAACAATATTTAAAATAATATTTTATAATAATCAGGGGGCTGAATAATTATATCGTAATTCCACGGGTAATCGCTGATAACTCTCAGTTACTAATCAACCAAAAATAAATAAAGGCTGTGTTTCCATGCACTGATAAGAGAATATTGCTAAATAAAATCACGTTTAATCATTAATTCAGCTGCAAGTTTCATTAGTTTTATTTCAATA